TCATTGGCGCTTATCACTTGTAATAAGAATAAAATATTAGACAGCTTTGACGCCAGACCTGTAAATCTTGTTTTCTGTATAAAATACGCATAATAAATAACGTATTAATATTAGATTTTTCTATTTTTATACAATAGTTGAGCAGGTTTGTTTAAAATGACCTTTCTATGGAAAATCTTGGTATGTCATTTATAAATTTTTCAGATACCTTCGTCGTAAAGCAGAAGATATGTGCCTAAGCACTTAATTTAGATGTTATGTTTCAGAGGAATGTTTGAAAATGGATACTTTAAGTCTAACAAAATGAACATAGCGACTAGGCAATAATGTTATCAATACATAGTATAAAACAAAGTCGCTTTTGCTGTATGTCCGTATGTATGCTTAGATCTTTAAAACTACGCAACGGATTTTGATGCGGTTTTTTTTAATAGATAGAGTGATTCTTAAGGAAGGTTTGTATGTATAATACATGCATATTGCACCCGTGCGAAGCCGGGGCGGGTCGCTAGTAAGTAATAATTTCCATATATCTATTTGAAATCCTAAGGGCAAGGGGTCTCGGGTTCGATTCCCGGGTCGGGCAAAGTATTACTGAGTTTGTAAACACCTCAGTAGTAGCACGGAGTCTGGTAATGTGCCCGGTATATGGCAATAGGCTCACCCCCAATTACATGGGACTCATTACATAAATAGTGAAAAGTGGGTGTTACATTGTACAGTGGCATTAAGTGCCGCAATGTGCACCTCTGCCTACCCCTTCCGGGATAAAAGGAGTGATGTCATGTTATGTCAATAGATGAGTTGAAAGTTCACGTAATATTCCAACAGTTTAGTCACAATCAAACTCGTAAATACCAAGTTTATATCGAGATCATGATTTAAGAACTCCGCGAGTCTAAATGCTAAATACTTGACATTCCAGTTAGGTTTACTGCGCATGTGCCTACAGTTTAATTTAACTGTCGACGTATGTAACTTTGAATGATTGGATTCAATTCGATGTGGTGTAGGTGCGAGCGGTTAAAAATTAACTCTATACACATTTACAAAAGATTGAGTTTAAATTGACTAAGTAATCCATTTATATTTTAAAGAGATTAATGAGAATTTGACCAATGACAATAAAAAATAATGGAAGAAAGAAAGAAAAACCATTTATTTCTGCGCAGAACACACAATAACATAATTAAAAAATAAAAGCTAAAAAATTAAAAATGAAGTCTTGTCCATGGTCCACAGACTCATTATTTTACTGAAATCATAGAATACTTAATATCTAATATTATCTGTGGACCATAGACAAGGAGCACCCTACTTACTTACTAATAGGTATATGTTAATTTTTTGGCGGCTGAGACCATTACATAGCATATTTGAGTATTTTTATATGTAAGTGTTGAATGGAAGAAATGGGTACGTAATTGAACAGAAGGTGGGCAACGTTGAACTAAGCGCAGTTTCTGCCTACTGCAATAATGAAAAATTTAATACGGCTTTTAAGTACCTCGGTTCTAAGTTATAACATAAGTATAAGGTGTTTCTAAGCCAAGGAATGTGAAACAAAAATATGCATAGAATAGAGCAATGTATCTTTCGATCAACTATCTTATATTTGATCAAAGAATGATTCAATACAATGACGATATCCTTAGAATAAATTGTATGCATCAGAACACCATGAACAGCACCGATGCTCACCTTATTGTTCCGGTAAAGGCTCATGAATGGCAACGATGCACAAATCGTGACTACGTCATTATTAAGTTGAGAATGTTAATAATTCGTGATTTGATTAAAGATACGATTGCTCAATACAAAGTCTTAAGTTCGATTCCTTAATCATTTACAAAATCAGAGTCTCTAACATTCCCTCGCCTCACCCAAGGCGAGCAAAGAAATTGGACGATTGACTTTCTCAAAAAAAAATCAGATATATGTTTTCCCGTATATTACAAGATGAATGATGAGGTACATGGAACTTCTTCTTCACAGCCGTATCACTCTTGACAGGGTGGTCGTGGTTAACATAATAAATCCGAGTTAGTTGCCCATATCACGATGTTCCGACTACTTCCGACACCTCCGACTAGCCGATATTTTAGTGCACTCATGCAAAAAGGAAAGCCCAAAATGGTCTTTATTTGACCAGCTCATTGCATAGGCGCGACCTTGTACCCTCACTATACCCTGGAAGACAAGGCGTTCCATAGAGCAGTTGTCGTACCTTCAGACGAGTCGGAATAGTTTTAGTACGAGTATACCGCATTGGACTACCTGGTGTGAAAGCTGCAGTCAAGGTAGGTATGATATTAACCGTATAAAGTAAATTGAGGACATAAATCATGTGATTCGTACTTCTATACATACGTACACACATAGGCCGGTTGTTACATAAGATATATATAAAGGTACATTCAAACATTGCAAGTATGTATGTGGACAAGAATTTCAAATTGAAGTCACGTGGTTTCCATAAAACGAATGCGAACAACTATCTGATGGCAGTTCGAGATTATATTTTAAGGTTGTTATTGTAGAGGTCATTGAATTGCTAGTATTTCTACTGCAGTAGTTATTCAGGTAGCAAAATGTTGCCTAGATAGGGTGGGAATAGGGACTACCGTTTTTTTATGCACTAGATGGCACTAATCTACTATGTCCAATCACTGCAGCTGTTGAAAATGAAATGTTGTTCTATTTGCTAATAACATAAACATAACATCACGCCTTTTAACCCCGAAGGCAGACAAAGAATTATGCATTCACACCTTTCAGAATAAAAATAATCTATTTGCTAATAATAGTATAGAAATCAATTCTAAAACAAAATCTATTACTGCAATTAGACAAATAAGGATAGCTGACCAACAGCCATCTGTAACGACGTGACTGCACGTCTATTGCCATTACCTACCATGGACGATTGACATTACAAACTGACACGCATTTATTTATTAGTAGCGGCACTCTCTTACAAGACTTCACTTGAATTCCTTTAACTACCTCAAGAAAAGTGTGAACAGGAATTTCTTGATCTTCATCTTCATGGGATCAGAACTTTTATGGTTGACCAAAAAATTACGTATAAAACAGGTTTTTTGGATGGGGAAAGTCATCCAATGACTTCTTACTGACTAAAAAGCACCCCGTTCTTACTCCTACCTTGAGCCGGGGCCCCGGTAACCCTGGTGTCTATAGCTCTGAAACGTATGGAACTGCTAAGGATTAAATTATGGTAAGAGAGCCCTGTGGTCAGGTGACGGTAGTAGTTGACAAAGCCATCTATGTACAGGAGACTCAGAGGCCCATAGTCCTGCAGAAGACTGTCACGAGCTCCTGATGGTTGATGATGATTCACTTAACGCTGGAGTCAAAATATGCAAGCACAAAAACAACTACCTACGAAAAGGTAATAATAAATAATCTATTACTACCTTACCTAATTAATGTTAGATGCTATAATCGATTAATTACAGCTGATCGATATCAGATGGAACTTCCTTTTTCAACAATTACAGCGTCGGCGCTATTTATCGATAACAATTGAATAAACTTGTTTAAATTAAGATGTAATAGTGTTCTGGTAAGGTCAGTCATATTTTTGCGAGCATTGGTCAAGTGGGATTAAGATTCATCATCATCATCATCAACAGCCTATAAATGCCCACTGTTGAGCAAAGGATCTTCTCGCATGGAGAAGGTTTGAGCATTAATCACCGCACTTGCTCATTGCGGGTTGGCGATTTAAAACCTATAATTAGAAATTATAAGTCCAGGTTTCCTCGCGATGTTTTCCTTCACCATTTGTCGGTGGTGTCTAAATAAACTTAGAAAGTACATATAACTCGGAATATTTTGAAACTTTTAATATCTTTTTAGGCAGTTATTGTTGAGGTGTTTTCGTGGAATTCGTAACATAATAGGAACTAATGGACAGTGGATGTTACATTGTATGTGCAATGTACACCTCTTTGTACTTACTATGTTTACCACTTCCTATCTCTTTGGAGTTTTTTTTTTATATTCGATGGGCCTGGTGGTAGGCAATGATGCGGTCTACGATGGAGCACGTCGACCCATAATCAACCTATGCACTCGGGCCTTGAAGACACCCATGTTATCTGATGTCCCTTCAGGAATTACAGATTCTGGCAAAGAATTCCACTCCTTAGTAGATTGAAGGGCGTGATGTTATGCATAATAAGAAGAAGCGATCTATGTATTGCATATTATTTGATAAGTGTTTATCTCTCAGCTATCTACGTAACACTCGACTCCTCATTACACATAATGTTGATTAATTCAATTCTCAGCACGTCACATTTAAAACAATGGTGATGTTTTGAAAATGAGGTTTTATTACCTCTCAGTATGTCTAAAGGATAATGGCTACTTTTTAAAGGATGACTCATCGCCATTCCAGACTTTGTGAAAGTCAAAAGGGCGCGCAGATGAGGAGGGTCCTTGTTTTACGACCTGAGTCACGCAAATTTTTGTAGCTTTTTTGATACCTATTTGTAGATAGGTATGATGACATAATTTACCAATGAATACATTAAAATATTAGATACTAAATCTTATAAAAATCTTCATTGATTATGCAAAAGTATTTGCCAAAAATAAAATGTTAATGTAGGTGTTGAACATGGTAAAAGAATATTTAGCAATGCGACACGCTTTAGGACCAGTGTGGGTGTTAATGTTGCACTAATAACTTTAAACTATACTTGAACTAACTAGTTCCATTTAAAAACTAGGTTACTTGCTAATCAGATTCTTATTAGTCAACTAGACTAAGTATCTATGCAAACTATACATAGGTGATAGCTTATATTCACAAAAGACTTTAGATCTCATTTAAGGATCCTTTTCCCCAAAAACTCATTGCAAAAAAAGTCTAACGGCGTCCTTTACAAGAAATTTGAAGCCAGCACCGTTAATCAGTGCACGCTGCATTTTACCTTATCGAATTAATTAAAAGTTACAATTACACTCACCTAGGTATGCCTCCGATAACACGAATACAAGTCGATGTAACAAGCACTAAGTTTGAAAAGGTCGTAGCAATAATTTGAACGAACGATACACACAACCGACCGGCGGAATAGCGGGACGCGAACTGAGCCAGGCTGAGGTAACAAGCTAAACCGCCTATTGCCTCGCTCAACGGGGCTACCACCAGCATCAATCTCGCTTTACTTTTAAAAATATACTTCGCACCTTTTTTTCCTCATACAGAACGAAAGAGACCGCCAATGTTGTGATTTGATTACGAGGATTGAGTCATTGCCCCGTAGTAAAGCAGCAATGTAGTCGGTGTGGCAGGGTACCGACACGGCCGACACCGGCACTTGGAATTCACGAAGACATTTTCTTGTTATGAACATAAACCGTAATGTAATGGTTATGCTCTTTTACATAACAAATGTCAGGAAACCGAGTCAAGTATTGCTTGCGGTCTGACGATGCGTAAGTCTTTTTTAATGTTAGGTGCCTCTCACCAGTAATTTCACCGAACGATTGGTGGCAAATGTCTCCTGCACAATAATAGTGCTCAACGCTTTTGGGTTATTTCTATATTCAGCAACTATGTATTTAAAATATGTCGTGTGTCGTGGTGGCTTGGAGGTTTAAGACACCCGCTTTTGCATGCACGTGAGTGCGGGTTCGAAACCTACCAACAGCAAGTACCAATGTCACTTTTTTCCGAGTTATATGTATGTACTTTCTAAGATTATTCAGACACTACTGATAAACGGTGAAGGAAAACACCTTGAGGAAACCTGGGCTTATAATTTCTAAGTATAAGTTTGAAATCGCCAACCCGCATTGAGCAAGTGTAGTGAATAATGCTCAAACCTTCTCCGTGTGATAAGAGGCTTAGCTCAGCAGTGGGCATTAAAGTCTGTTGATATGTGATGTGTGTATTTAATTAAAATTAGACCTCCACAACATGACCTGCAAACGACTAAGGTCATCGAGTAATTTAAGTAGGTATAATTGTTTCTTCTTAACAAATCTATTAATTGGCCACTGCTGTAAAGAATTGCCTTTAATTAGTTTCTGATTTACCTACCATTAAACGTTGATTGTAACTCGCTAGATTTTCACTGTAGTTTGAGGCTACCAGTACATACATTAAATATTTAGTTCGTGATTTTGACTGCAAGCTGTTGGTTTTTCGCCTGACCTCTCATCGGTCACGTGCGCCGATTTACTATACCACCATATCCATGGGAGAGAGCACCTGTATTGGTACCTGTATAAGAACTTAGTTATATAGATACAGTACAGAGAGTAGTTTTCTGCACAGAAAAAAGTCATTCTGAAGAAAAATCATTCAGAGGCCTGCCTCAAAAACAATCCCTTCCTCCCGGTGTGCTTTCAACACAAACACTTGTGTTGGTATCGATAGGTAAGTATGTACCTGTACAAAATCAAACAATAAAATACACGAAAACTAATTAAAAACACGGGATAATAAAAAACCGGATTTGAATCAGTCTCAATAACTTGTAAACATTATTATAATTATCCTCAACTTAAACGTAGCATTTAGACTTCTATTAAGCTAACACAGACCACCTAATGATTAAATACCTACCTACATAATTATTATATACCTACTTTTTTTAATGGGGTAATCATCGAGTGACTGCTCCCGCCTGGGTGAAGCGGGAGGGAGTGTCAGACTCTTACTGAATAAAAACCACCCCGTTCCTTCTCCTGCACTTCGAGCTGGAGTCCCGGTAACCCGTTAGGGTCTCCGCGACTATACTACCTACTGCCGCGCGATTTCACCCGCTCTGCTCTACTCCTATTCATCGTAGCGTGATGTTTGATAGCCTATAACCTTCTTCGATAAATGGACTATCCAACGCAAAGAGAGCTTATCAAATTGGCCCATTAGTTCCTGAGATTAGCGCGTTCAACAAAAACTGGTCATCTTTATAAATATAAATAGTATACGATAAGATTTATATATATTTTAATTTAGTTAAAAAAACTTATTGATTACAGTTGATCTTTTGATTTTCTGTGTAAGGATTCTCAGGTCGAACAAAGTAGGTATTATTGAAAAGTGGGTTACCATTGTTTCTATTTTATGTGCAACTCTGCCTATCACCGAGGAGAGTTAGGAGATTAAAATGGCTAACGTTTTGTTATAGGAAACACCCAAATCTTAACCTTTTCTCATCATGGGTACTTTGTAATTATTATTTAGATTCTATTTATGTATTAGACTGCTATATTAAATAATGCTTATGGGTCGACGAACTCCATCGTAGTATCGATAATGGTCAAACTTCGGCTCATCAAATACTTATAAAAAAAATGCTTACGACAGCTCTAAGTTCAAATTATGTGTCTCATAACCACATTTATTCATAGAATTATTAGAATGTCTCATGCCTGCGTAGACAAACTACTGCTAAGTATGACTCAGATGGGAAGTTCCCAACAAAAAAATCCAAAATAGTTACTACACGCCCCTCATAAACCCCAATTTGACTAACCCACGTCATGCCACTAAATTATAAGGTTACACCCTCAAAACTAAATAATTTACAGAGCCAATCCCTTGCATAATTAAATAAAAAGGCATTTAAGTAATTTTGTTATGATACTAAGGACAATTAAAATAATATAAGTAATTGTTTGACACACGCATGTAGCCAAACAAATGACAGAATGGATAGCACGTTTTGTATGTTTGTTCCTTGTGTTTTAAACAATCATTTATAAAGAATAAAAGAATATTTTGGTACCTATAGAGATTAGAGATATGGACATTCTTAATTACTTAGGCATAGCATTCTTATGGTGCTATATCTAAAGAACAAACATTCTTAAACGAGGTAGATGTGTTGTGTATTTAAAGCTATTGTGGTTCATAGAAGTTCGCGTCACAAAATTAGCGTCAGCATCATATAATAATGGGATTGTCATAATCTCTATGTTTGCCAGGCGGATCGGAGATTGCAGACTGCGATTTCCAGTCACAGTTTAGCTAATCAGCTCTTATAGCATCTTTCGGAAGAGATCTGAGATGGCAAAAATATGTTCTCTGAAGTCACTAGATGGCTCCTTTCAACCGACGGCTTCCAGATTCAATAATTATTGTTATGTTATGTATCTTTAATACTAATATGTTACTTTGAACGTTTACTTAAATCTTGTGGGGTGAACGATGATGTAGGAGTGATTCGTAGCTGGGCACAAGACGGCGACAAGAGGAGACGACTCAGCAGTTCGAATGTTGCAATACTCCGTAGAACTTTCGTTGCATCAAAGTAGGTGTAATGTCCTGATTCAGCAGATCTGGGCCTGGTTACTCGGCGTTGATCACGGTGTAGGAACATGTTTCGGCACCGATAAGTAACAAGCGATCGATTAGTTTGTTCTCAAACATTCTTTGAGCAATTTAACATTTATAAAGTGGAAAGTTTAGGCAAAGTCGCGAGTGTCGTCAGGTCTGTTTGCGAAGGCCTACAGCCTAGAGGCATGACCTTATTACCATGTCGCACCCCATGTTGTTTATTATGCTGTACTAGTACTCGTGTATTTGGACACGCCTTTTATACATGCTACATATTTTAATCACACCGTTTCTGTGTTTAATAGCTCCCATCGAGACACCAGGTAGATTTCCCGTTAGATCTGTTTTCAACTAGTGTAAGTAAATTCCATATATATTCATAATTTATGATTTTTATATTAAAAAAACAACACGATAGCCGACGACGACAACGCGACATGAACCTACCGTAGTCGATGCTCTATCAATCAAGCACATCGCATCCCTCGACCTCAGTCAATGAAAAAATTCAGTCATCCCAAGACTTTTTCGAAAATTACTATATTACCCTATGTTCATGAGAGTTACCTCTTTATTCGATCCTATCTCAGTCATCAACAACTTCAGATAGGCAATATGCACAGACTGGTCGACGGCGAGGCGGTGACCTACCTACGTTGTCAGAGGCAGGTGACCTCCCCTTAGGACAGACCTACCTTCACACAATATCCGCATATTATCATTTATAAGGTCATCATTTCTTTATGATGGCCTTTAAAATATTCGTTTTCATTTTCCCCGTAACGTACTTAGCTAGGTATTTACTTAGGATTAAAGATACAAAGATTATTCTGCATAATTATGTTACCTTCTTTCGAATGGCTGCAGTACCAAATCAGATACTTATTTATTTTTTATGTTTTTGTATTATCAGGAACAAGATGTGTGCAGAATAAAAAAATACTTGAGAAAGTCAGGGAACAGCATCCAAGTACCAATAATGAATAACTACTAGACGGCTGCTTGTTAGGACCCAAGTATCCGAGTAAAATAAATACCAAACCTTTAAGTTGTAGTTTAAAAGTTGTAGTGTAGTTTAAAAGACACATACTAACACAAAATGGTTCCTATGTTGTTCCAAATAAAAAATTATTTATTATTATTATTTATTTATTTAAAAATAAAAGTCCGCATGTACTGGCTAACATTATCAAAAAAAAAGGTCATAGCCATAAAGTTATATTAAAAAAAGTAATTCTTGTTTTTTACCCCATAATGGCTTTTACAATTTTTTCAGCACATTTCAACCAGTGACACTACTCCTAACTAAATAATAGGATGGCAACATTTTCCTGAAGTGTCATTTTGTGCAATATCAATGTCAACGATCACTGTCAAACGCAGTTTTCCCGTTCCAGTTTTTGTGTTTGTAATTTTAAACAGTAGTTGATACTTCTATCTTTTTCTTACCTCACAAAAATTTTATTATTGTCTCTTTTTACACATGCTTGAAATATAATATGTCAGATTATGATTGTCATTTGATTGATATTGATAACATTGATTCTTCATTGATAATTTCGCCTATAATTTTGTGTTAAATTATGAATTAAAATCTATTAACATAAGTCTTTTATCTTAAGGCTTGTATAATAAAAAAGTCGCCTTATTATAGTATCACAATGTTGCGTCCTTTTAGCAATAAAAACTTACATTTCGGTTTTATTTTGTTATTCGCTTATTTTGGGTATGTTACAGCAAACCATTGTAATTTTAATGTTAAATTGAAGCAAGTTCTTAAAAATCAAGGATTCCACAGGTATGTAATAAACTAATAACACACACACGCTTAAATCTACTCAAAAATAATAATATTGTTTGTAGTTAATTAAAGTGTAAAACTAAACAAATATGTACGAAAACCATTAAACTTGTATAGTTTCTAATACTTGCTAAAACTCCTGCTTGAAGGATAAAACCCATTAAGTCTAACTCCAATTTCTCTTTCTAATAAGAATGTCTCAGCAGCTTCCAAAATAAATTTAAGCATAGAAATACTAAATGTTGCCATATTAATGTTCCAGGAACATATCCTATGGCATAGTGTTCAATACTGATGATGACAACTGCTGGCTGTACAAGGACTGTGTGGTCGGACTGGACCAGACATTGCCGCATGGAGTCTATGCCAACCCTGATGAGCTCAGCACTCTAAGACGGCTAAAGAAGGTCACTATGATCAATATAAGTTATCAATTTGTTAGTATTGTTTTTACTGTAATTACTAGCCACAATTTTAAAACAAAGCATTATTGTTTTTAAATGTTGCCATTCTAGTTCACTTGCACATAACAGCCAGACCTGGAACAACAATTTGTGGACCACACAAAGAGTTGCTCCATTCGGGAATCCAACCTGTGATGACACATTGCGTGGCAGCCGGTTGCCTAGGCACCGCACCAACCGTACCGTTTGCTCCTACTGTAAACTAGATTTGTTCTATTATGAGCATTTTTGTTAGCTTTTATGAGTTAAAAATGAATTTTCTAACAACATCATGGTGGTACTACATCTTTTGAAACTAATTTATTTTGGTATGTATTTTTTTTTTTTTTTTTAAAAAACGTTGCCCCACACTAGGATTTTCTCCTGTGTCGTGGGTGCGTTTACAAACATACAATATCACATACACATGACACCCAGACCCGGAACAACAATCTGTGGATCACACAAAGAGTTGTTCCGTGCGGGAATCGAACCCGCGACACGTTGCACGGCAGCCAGTTGCCCAGCCACCGCGCCTACCGTGCAGTCGTTTAATGCCGCTGTACATTTGTACAGATAACATAGACTCTATGTTATGAGTGCCATGTAATGGGGGTGAGGATCCGCACAGTCAGTTGCGGCAGCCGCACTTGCGACCACTTGGCTAACGAGGCAGCGACAGAAACTCCCTCTTAATTATTAAAATAGTAAATAAATAAATAAAATATTAACACAGCTCTTCACTTGTGTTACAGTTGAATGCCGTTCCAAAGACCCGTATAAACACGGAGATGCCAGCAGAACACTCGTATCCCACCACCACATACATCACGGAAAGGATCAAGGACTGCAAGGTGCATGTGTGGCTGCCGGTACATGCTCGGTACCATTTAGCCACGCCTGGTGGGGGGTGAGTTCTGTTATTAATTTATAGGCTAAATGTTTTGGTTAAAAATACAAGATTTCTTCTGCCCGAGCTAACATTGATTAATTGTTTCAACTGCCTCGTATGAATTGAGTACTGTCCTACAACTGGTCAATACAATCAAATATTTAAAAATAATCACACTTTCATTAATTAATTTTATGACCAACTTAATTTTAGTATATTCCCAGCAAATTTTTAAGAAATAAGTACACTGTCTAATGTTAAAAAAACTTTAAACTCGTACAAAATTCATAGAAAACTGTCGCTCTTGACAGTTAGAAAAAAGGATTAAATTTGACTAGTTGGTAAATACCGTATTGTGATCATAAGTTGGTTTGGACGTTTCAAATTGAGTGAATTTAAACAACGTTCTTTTGAAATTATACAGTTTTTTACATTGGTATGAAAATAATAATCTATTTTCCTACTTGAACAATAGTAAAGTAAGAAGATAGAATAAATAAGCATCTCTGTATACCTACTGCATTGACCAATTTTGGCTCATATAACTATAACTAAATTATATATCCTCATGTCCATTCCAGTATGGCCCGCAACACGATAGGTCCGCCCAAGCTGTACCTGCGCTGCCCCGACCAGCGCCTCGACATGTGTAACAAGGCCGCCACTCCCGTCACCTTTCTCTGCAACGGCAGCTCCAAGGAGAAGTGCAGCTGGAAGGAACTGCCCTACACCTTGGTAAGAGAAAATTCATTATTTTAAGTAAAAGGACCCTGCGTACGCCTCCCCAGTGAGCCTGTGGTTCCGTGGTTAGTAAAGACATGAGATAAATCTTCATTAATTAGGCGACAGTGTTATCAATTTAATTTATAGATAACAACTGATATCATCATTCGCAGTAGTTACTGGATAATGGATTCTGTATGGTCGCTGTACCAAAACGTTAAAAAATCTTGAATAGTCTTCCAAACTTAATATCTATTGTACAGTTTACAAATATCTAGTAAGATCGCATTTTTGAGGCCTCAGTTACATCACATGCTTGACCATTTATTTAATACAGTTTACATCATATCACATTGTTGATTCCACTCTGACACTCCAAAGTTAATTTAAGAGTGGGAGAGCCATGCTTCAGCACAAAAGGGCCGCCTTGACCGAAGCGGTACAACGGCCGAGCAGAAAACCGACGTGAAACACGCAAGCGTTGTGTTTCGTCGTGTAAGTGAGGTTACTGGAGGCCCAATTACCACCCCCTCGATCTGAATACCCCCACAATCCACAGATTCCATATTCCCAAAAGGCCGGTAACGCACTTGTAACCTCACGTGTTTCAGGTGTTTATGGGCGGTGCCAATTGCATTGCATTGCTTTTCTAACGCCATTATAGAAGAAAGAATCATTCAGTACACACACTAAAGAAAGATATTATCCTACTTTCCAGCTAACAGACACCCTAGTATGGAACATTCCAATTGGCAACATGGAGCACTACCACGCGATCTCAGTGGGCACCGCGCTCGTCATAGCCATCGGCTCGCTCTACCTCATCAAGGCGATACACGAACACAAACTCGTCACCATGCCCTTCAACCCATACACTTCTTTACACAATTAGTAGCAAAATTAGTAAGTATCGATTTTCTATTTCTAGCAGCGAAATCTATTGGTAGGTATGGGTCCTTAAGATGACAACGTTTATCCTATTAACAAAAAAAAAAACAAATAAATTGTCTATTGAAATTAATGATTATATTCATTTCATGTTTAATTTATTTTTTATTCATATAAAATGCTCAAATTATTACAATATTTACTTATGTAAAGTAGAAATAACTTGTTAGTAGGCATTAAATTTACGAAAAGATAAATACTTGAAAATAATTTTCAGTAATCAAACATTCCTTTTCTAAATTTAAAATTAAACTACACAATCATTATGTATAGATATAAGACGCATAAACAATATATTTAAAACATCTTATAATAATTTGATTATAAATAATTAAGGGCCGATTTTTCGCTGATTGTTTTATTATCACGTAATTCTTAATTGTAGAATAAAATTGACATTTGACAGTTTTCAGTATGAAAGAATTGTCAAATATTCAAAGTTATTCCTCAGTTAAATGACAATGACCAAATTTGTATGGAGCGTGGTGCCTTTTCATTTTTTCGCGGCAGTTGATCGAATGTGGATAAACTGATGCAGAATAACATTACAAACAAAAAAATGTATGGGGTCTTATATCATAAACACAGTCCGAACCGAGTTAAATCAGTTCAAAGATGTAAAAATAGTGCTATATAATTCCTGTGATTTTGTTGATGGTGACCGTACACAACGCATAATTTCATTTACTTGTCAGAAATATTTTGTAATAAATATTTATAAACGATTTCAAGGAATATAATAAATATTATTGAGAACGTTTTTACTTTTTTTTAATTTTATTATTTTTTTTTTTGTTGTTAGGCCACGGAATCAGAACAGAGTGAACCATTTAACTGACCACTGCTGAAGAAAAAAAAAACATTGCGTTTGATTGGCTAGCGTGTTCAATTTATATGTATACGGTTTATGGCCTATGACAGATTTTCATGATCAATTTCCTCTCAGTCAAAAACCCGCAAAATACTTTACTGAGCCCTATCGTGAAATGTTATGTTTGTCAGCTGCGGCGTCGGTAGCGGATTGAGTAGTAACAGTCGTCAAAACACGAAAAAAACATTTTTCTGTCTACTTCTCCCGACTTACCTACTTCCGATTAGTGACTAATCTAACTACAGTTAATACTTTAATCTACATCTAGCTTAAGATTCTGTACAAAGACATCGTCATTCAGTCACAAAGTGATGCATTTCGAATGATCACATTATATAAAAAAATTATGCGGTCATCTGACGTATATTCCATCACTTAAAAAGTCGACAGTTTGCTTTCTTCTAAAGATTATGCTAACTATAAAGTAGATGAGTCTCCCACCAGGAGTCAACGGCAAAAAAATACTTTATTAGATGTTTAGACGGCTACAACTACACAACCCACCACTGGTACCACAGCTGACACTCATGAAGCTTCATGACACAACTCCTAGAAGCATCCTACAAGTTAACGACTAAGAGAAAATAGGTCATAAAAATTAGCGACTGGCAATATGGATATTTTGTGGTGTGATTTAGTGTTTCTGTGCCCGGCGTACAGTGGCGCGCAATTTGAAGTTAGGAATTGTGACAAAAATATGAATAATTTGAATAAAAAAACGAAAGAAAAACGTTTGATTCCAGCTCCTTTTAACGCTCATAACTCAGTCCAGACTGAGATTTCCATATATGAGCCCATAGACAATTTCGTTTGTAATGACATTCTAGATAATATTTTCCATAAATCATCGACTGCCGCCAGAAAAAAGAAAGGCACCAATTTTAGTCAATGCCCTTACCTTTTATTTGGTGTTGGCCGGCCTTAAAATAGATAGATAAAGTAAACACGGTGACCAAAGAAGTATTTATTTACAATATTTCAGGAGTGGTTTCAGCCTTAGCGCCAGGCAGAAAGATACACGCAATGTCGCGCGCGTGCGCAATAAGTATAAGGCTATTTTTATTTTTTTTTAAGGGGGGAAAATTATCGAATGATTGTTCCCGCCTGGGTGAGGCGGGAGGGAGTGTCAGACTCTTACTGACTATAAACCACCCCGTTCCTACTCCTGCACGTCGAGCCGGAGCCCCGGTAACCCGTTAGGTTCTCCGCGACAATAAGTATAAGGCTGGCGGTACATTTTGATATTGGAACTTAATGTTATGTTCATTTTTTTATGGAATAGTGGGCAAACGTGCAGACGGTTCATCTGATGGTGTGCGTTCAGCCGCTGAAGGGGTAGGTTGAGGTGCACATTATGGCACTTAATGCAACTACATTGTAAAACCCACTTTTCACTATTTATGTCCTGAGTCCCATGTAATAGGGGGTGAGCTTATTGCCATATACCGGGCACATTCCAGACTCCGTGCTACTACTGAGATTTTTTTAAAACCCAGTAATACTTAGCCCTACCCGGGAATCGAACCCGAGACCCCTTGCCCGGCAGTCGCACTTGCGATCACTCGGCCAAAGAGGCAGTCTAAATAAACACGTGTAGTTTGTAGTCACAAGAAAAGTTCTTTTTGAAACTTAGGCATTGGAGAGAAAGGTTTTATGTAAGCAGAGACTGATATATCAGCAGTGAACTACTAAATATTATGTTGGGAGGTAGGAGAGATGATGGGCCCTAGGTTGGAAGTTTCGACATTAATAACGACAAACACAGTCAGGCGCAACCCCGCATCTGAAAACACATAAAAAATGTCAACACATTAGTGTCACCAATGTTAATAATACCAAAATTCGGTCGATATGTCGTACCTATCTATATAAATAAAAATGGAACCCGTTTTCCGTTGTCACGCCATAAGTTGAGAACAGTTAGACCGATTTGGCAGATTTTTTTTTTGTTGAGTTTGTTATCGTCAGAAGGTTCTTATGACAGAAAGAAGACCTTAAAATCCTACGGAAATGGGAGAGACGGGATTGCGCGTACGAAGTCGCGGACAGAAGCTAGTCCTCAATAGATTTTCAACTTTATCGGAGAAGGAGAAAGTTGAATATCTTTTAATTTAACTTTTGACTTGACGATCGGTTAGTATCGACTGTGGCTTGATGATATCAGTATTACTGTCGAGACTTCTAACTCTGAAGGGAGTTAAAAATTGTTAATAACTGTTGTGTTATATTAAAATATTTTAAATGCAGTACATGTAATGTAGTATTTATCTATTACAAAATGTATTATGATTTGTATAGTTTTATATCGCTATTTTAATGTAACATTCCTTTTTGTACGAAAAATATTTTTATGTATTTATTTAATAAGTAGATGATCACAAATAAATTGATTTTATTTATCTATAAAGTGCAATAGTATTCCGTCAAATTGGAGTATTAATGTTTGTAAACATTGTACTTGCTGTGTCTAGTCATAATAAATATAAATAAACAAATTTATTTATGTATGTGTTTTAGTTTTTTATTGCTTTAGTAGTTAAAGTGTAAATTGAATTGTTGAAAAGTCTAGCTCTAGAGCACTCTGCGTTGCCATCCCTCATTGTAATTTGAAATATCTATTTGTATGCCGTTAGCCCGTTAGTACTTATAGTTGGGTATACGAGGTCAGTGGCCAATCTACGCCAAGACTGGAGGTCCTTTAAGTAGAGATTTAATAAATAAATTACCATTATAACTGATTTGGTATTACATGGATCTCACAACTTTTTACGGTAACTAGAAATATTGAGCTGCGATACTTGGTCTTTTTGGACAAATAGAGATTTTTTTAATCTTATTTCTTTTTGTAGTCTTATTTATTTCCTTTCCAGTATCTTCTGATCCTATTTGTAAGTGAGAGCCTGCCCGTTCTCACCTAAATTTGAAGGAAGCCCTAAGCTAAGACAGGGCGCAATTTGACGACATTTTAGTTTTTATCAAGTAAAACCAAACAGTACAAGTAAGGGGTTAATTTAGGTGCAACGTCAAGCTTAGTAACTCTTAGTTAAGAAATGCTTTAGGGGTGATTTTGATGTTTGGTCGGTGAGTGAGTAAGTATACCGTGTTTATACAATGCTTGTTTGGCTTCTAAACATTCAGGCTTCTAGTTTTATCCACACAGTTCCACATCTTAGTTATAACA